AAAAAAACACTGATGCGAGCCACCGCCCCCCTTTAAAAGCGGAGGGAATGAACGTTTTGGACACTCACCCCGTACCGAGCACGACTTTCACTCACTCGAAGTGTAACCGGGAACACTACAGGACCCGTTTATCACTCTAATCGCCGCTACTTGGCATATTCTCATTAATGATTCTCCTCACATTTACGAATAACGTAAATCGTGATAATTATTTCCACAAAGATTGTTTGCACAGCTAGCCGCCAGAGGCGCATCACCTTCACAATTTTTAGCGTATCCACGTATATATGCATCTAAGGCATTTCAACGCTTACGCGACGCCACTTTGCGCATTTATCAATATTATTTTTTACAATTGATAGATTTGATACTATTCAAATATTTCCTATTAATTGAAAACCGTGTATTACGATTTATCTTGTCTCATGTTTTATTTATATTTTAAATTATATAAATATTAAAATATTTATTTTTTTTATAATGTATTTATATATTTATATTTGATTATCTGTATTATTTAATTAAATTGTACAATTATATTTTTTAAAACAAAATTATTATTTTATCTTATTTAAAAATCGATGCATATTTATTTTTNTTTATCAATTTATATTATATTATTAAATAAATTACATTATTAATATTTAAATAATTATTTTACATTTTTATAAAAAATTGTATATAAAAATATAATAATATTATTGCTATTTATTCTACTTCATAATATTTGCTTAATATATGTTTATCATTTGCATTAATTTATATACAATTAATATAATTAATATATAATATAATTATATAATATAATTAATATAATACAATTAATATAATTAAAATAATAAATTTATACTTTCAACATTTATTTTATTTGCACTTATACAATTATATATTTATAAATAAATATATATCTATATAATTTAATTCATAGATATATAATTAATCAATTTATATTAATCTATAGTCTTTGTAATATTTACCATTACATTTATAATATTTGTAGTATTATATATTAATATTTTATACTTATATATGTAAGTATATTAAATTTTACACTTATTTCACTTTAAAAGAATTTTAAAGAAAAATTAAATTTAAATTGCTTATACAGCAGTGATACCAATTATGAAAGTAGAAAAAAATATTCCAAAGAGCGTAAACATGGCCTCGCGGTATAATCACGCTATTCAGCGAGTTTTAGCAAAATTAGAAGCATCTATAAATTCGGAAAATTATTATGAAGCTCATCAAATGTATAGAACTTTATACTTCAGGTAGGTTAATAATGTAATTAATCAACATCGTCAAAGAATCATTTTTACACAATCATTGATATGATTGCTTAACCTCTTTTTTCAGATATCTTGGACAGAAAAAGTATTCGGAACTTTTGGAATTACTATACAATGGTTCTACACTTTTATTACAGCACGAACAAGTATATAATCTATTCTTTCTTTTTTTTTTATTTTTATTAATTTTATTAAATATAGCATACGAGAAATATCAAAATGATGTCATAATGCATATTTCTGAGTATTATTTAGAAATTTTTCTCGAACAATCTATAATTAAATTTTATTGTCAGTTATTAATATTTACTAAATTAAAATTTTTTTTGTTTTTTTAAATAAAAATTAGAATATTTTAAAATATTTCAAAATACAATAAATGAAAATATTTTATATCAATTAATAATAATATAATATTTTGAATTATTTATAACATATTTGCAATTTATTCATATTATACTAATATATAAAAAAATATTATATTATTATTTTTTACCATTTATAGCATGCAAGTGGAGCTGATTTAGGAATTTTATTTGTAAATGTTTTAACACAATCAGGAACAGAACCTTCTCAAGATTATTTTGAAAAAATTACAAACTTGTTTAGTATAATGAGTCCTTTATCACCTGAAAGAGATGTTTTTGTACAATCTGCTCTTCGATGGAGTATAAAGAATACAGATTATAAAATAGGTCATCCAGATTTGCATCAAAAAATAGCACAAGTATTTTGGAGAGGTAATTTATTTAAGATTTATAATATATTAAGACTAAATTATGTATTAAACTAGATTATTATGTATATAAATTATGTATATCTAATTACATATTAGATATTTTAAATATGCAATCTTTATCAAATATATATATTTTTTTAGAAAAAAATTATGTAATGGCAAGACAACATTTCATATATAGTCGAGATGGTTCTGGATGTGCTGCAATGCTTGTTGAACTTCATGAACAACGTGGTTACAAAAATGAAATAGATCTTTTTATAGCCCAGGCAGTCTTGCAGTAAATATTCTCACCTTATTCATTTGAACATCTAAATAATACTTAATACTTAAAAACAATATAAAATATATCTTAAAAATTATTTTAATTTATTTTTAGATATCTCTGTTTACAAAATAAAACAACTGCACAAGAAGTTTTCAATTCTTATACTTCACAACATCCGAAAATAAACAGAGGTCCACCATATCTTCTACCTTTATTGAATTTTTTATTTTTTTTATTAAAAATAGTTGATAGGTAAGTATAAATTTTAATTTATCTATTTAATAAATAAAAATTTATATTAATGTATATATTTTGTTTTTTAGTGGTAAACTTACTGTATTCACAGTACTTTGTGAACAATATCGAATATCTTTAAATAGAGATCCATGTTATCGACAGTACTTAGATAAAATAGGACAATTATTTTTTAATGTTCCATCCCCACGTCCTCGCAATCAAGGATTATTTGGTACACTTTTACAATCTTTTTTTAATGGTCTTGAAGATGAAGGTTCAGATGATGAACAAAGAAATATTGCTTCAACTTCTCAAACAGCACAAGAACTTGATTGATTAAAAGTTACACGTCACTGTGCAATGTGATGAAAGTAAATAATTA